GTTTTCTTTTGTTTAGGTTTATTTTGATTTAAATCAAAATGGAAAATAAATTGTAAATGTACTCGAAATGTAGTCGAAAAAGGGTGTCTGGAATACATGTCATCCACACACATGTATTACATCTTCAATGATGACATGGTACTCCATAGATGCGGAAAATGTAAACCAAAATACGTTACACCTATCTATCTATTCTGTATATTTATCTATCTATCTAAATATCTATCTATCTAGCTTTCTATCTATATATCTATCTATACTGTACTTAAATTATTGAAATTTTGTAAAGATATAGGGATAGATGATTTCTATGTCATGAGACATGAGCTATAGACTCTTGATGCAATTAGTTGTTGAATGAGAACAATTGTTTTTTTATTAAATATTGAAATGTTTAAAAGGTATGAAAATGGTGTCGTTCCTCCGACCTTTATGGGGTGTACCTACCTACCAACTCCACAGAGGAAAAAATTGTGAAAACCTTTCTTCGTAAAGTGTATTTTTTTCTTTCAAAATCAATCTTAAATAAAATGTAGAAGGAAAACTAGAAAACTGTGAAACAAATGTCGTCTTTGTTTTCCCTATTTGCCCTGAACGATTTTTAACTGTCCTTTGAGACAATTATGTAAAATAACATTCCGCTCAGCGAAGGTTTCAAGTTTTCGTAAAAGAAAAATCGTATATTTTCAGCTTAAAAGAAAAAGAACTTGTATACTACATATTTGGTAAATTAAAAAGTTTACTTAAATGGACTGTAAGTGTAGTTTTAAGTGACTCTCTATTCACAACACCTTTATCTGATCAATAATGTTGACGATATTCACAACACCTTTATCTAATCAATAATGTTGACGATATTCACAACACCTTTATCTAATCAATAATGTTGACGATATTGTCGTTTTCTAGGTTTAAGTGACCCTATATTCACAACACCTTTATCTATTCAATAATGTTGACGATATTCACAACACCTTTATCTAATCAATAATGTTGACGATATTGTCGTTTTCTAGGTTTAAGTGACCCTCTATTCACAACACTTTTATCTAATCAATAATGTTGACGATATTGTCGTTTTCTAGGTTTAAGTGACCCTCTATTCACAACACCTGAACCTGTTTAATAATGTTGACGATATTGTTCTTTTTAAGTGACCCTATATTCACAACACCTTTATGTAATCAATAATGTTGATGATATTCACAACACCTTTATCTAATCAATAATGTTGATGATATTCACAACACCTTTATCTAATCAATAATGTTGATGATATTCACAACACCTTTATCAAATCAATAATGTTGATGATATTCACAACCCTTTATCTAATCAATAATGTTGATGATATTGACGTTCTAGGAGGTTTAAATAGTTTTCCTGCGGTATAAAATTTAAAATAATTAGTTTTCCAAAATAAAAATATTTATTTATAATTCATACTTGATCAGACAAAGCTTTAACGTGTACCGCTGTGAATCAGGCGATGCCATTTTTGCATGGAAAATTACTTAAAATTACACAAACATATTCTTTCCGACAATTTTGCCTTAGTTTAGTTGAAAACTAGAAAATAGACATTTTATAAAACAACAAGAATTCCACTATTTCTTGTCCTCCCTGTATCAGTTATAAATAAAGAAAATTCAATCAATTTTTTTCTTCTAATGTTTCAGTTTTCATTAATTTTTTCTTCAGTTTCAATCCTGTTTGCAACGTCAACAAAATGAGAGGTTTGGTAAGTATTTTTCTACAGAATTTTTTAAAAATTAAACTGTTCTGATTGTGAAGTAATGAACTATATTGTGAAAATTCTATATCGCCGTTCATAACGTTCATAACGTTCATAACGTTCATACGTTCATACGTTCATAACGTTCATAACATTCATAACGTTCATAACATTCATAACGTTCATAACGTCCGTAACGTTCATAACGTTACCTTTAACCATCACTGTTTTATCCAACAAATAATAAGACTTTAATGTCCTGAAACTTATAAAATATTTTCTATTAAAAAAAAAAAAAAATCCGAAAGTTCCGAATAAATCTTTCTAATGATGTATCATTTGTCATATTTGGACATAAAACATGGGATTTAGAGGGGGGGGGTCAAATTGACCCCCCCAGCATATCCTGGTTTTCAAGTACCCCAGCAGGGATAGGGTTAAGGGGAAAAACAATGGCCTTCTATAGGCTAACCTTCGATAGAAAATATAAATATCAGCTCTACAGCTTATTTATTTTATTCATATTCATATCTTAAAAATGGAAAATAATATTTCTAACAATATTGTATAAATATCGTTTAGAATTTACCTTTCAATGGATTTATTGTGTACAATGAGAATGGGACGAACACAACATGTTACAGGTATTTAGTGTACTGTAATATAGTTCTGTAACTTACTGCAGGTATTTAGTGTACTGTAATACAGTTCTGTAGCGTACTGCAGGTATTTAGTGTACTGTAATGCAGCTCTGTACCGTACTGCAGGTATTTAGTGTACTGTAATACAGTTCTGTACCGTACTGCAGCTATTTAGTGTACTGTACTACAGTTCTATAACGTACTGCAGGTAATTATTGTACTGTACTACAGTTCTGTAACGTACTTCAGGTATTTAGAATACTGTACTACAGTTCTGTAACGTACTGCAGGTATTTAGTGTACTGTACTACAGTTCTGTAACGTACTCCAGGTATTTAGTGAACTGTACTACAGTTATGTAACGTACTTTAGGTATTTAGTGTACTGTACTACAGTTCTGTAATGTACTGCAGGTATTTAGAATACTGTACTACAGTTCTGTAACGTACTGCAGGTATTTAGTGTACTGTACTACATTTCTGTAATGTACTGCAGTTATTTAGTGTACTTTATTATAGCTCTGTACCGTACTGCAGGTATTTAGTGTACTGTACTATAGTTCTGTAATGTACTGCAGGTATTTAGTGTAATGTTCTACAGTTCTGTAATGTACTGCAGGTATTTAGTGTACTGTACTACAGTTCTGAAACGTACTGCAGGTATTTAGTGTACTTTACTACAGTTCTGTAACGTACTGCAAAAAGTAAATTTTGATTTTTCTCCAAGGTGGAGAAATGTTTTATCTATATTTAACAAATCTAAAACAAGACATTTTTATATATGTTCCTTACAGCCGGCAAAACGGCTAGACCGAAAAGCTGATTTTTTTGTGGACCCTCATGGGTAGCCTGGGGTTGACATATGCTGATAATACTCGAATTTTAAAAAAAATATTTAAAGAATTCATAATACTTTTTTCCACGGGCAACGCCGGGCCCTTCAATTAGCAGTTTATAATTCTGGTTAGATTTAAGTCTTACAGCATGAGAACCTTAAAACCATAGATTAATTTGCAATAACACATAGGACACTATATGTCGTCTTTTCAAGATTTAGGGGTTTTTCGTTCTCAATAACCCTGAGACAGAAGCCCAAAGAAGTTCGGCGCAGGCAGCGTTGAACTACAAGACAGAACAAAAACGCATGCGTCGCTTGCGCAGAACTACTTCGGGCTTCTGCCTTAGGGTTAATGTGGACGAAAAACCCCTGAATATTAAAAAGACGACATCTAGTGTCCCATCTGTTCTTGTTAAATTATGCCAAAAACTCTTAAATAAGAAGACGACCTTGTGAATAATTTTATTAACTTCAACGAATGTTGCTAAAAAAATTTTTTTTTGATGCATCCAGTAAGGTTGAGGGCAGTCAAACGGCGGGTAGGTGTTTCAAAAACATCAGAAACGGTTAATAACTTTTTAAAAAAATAAGCTACAGGGCTGAAATTTATGTATTTAAAAAGCCCTCGAAAATGGAAGTATAAAAACTAATATTTGTTAAAAGTTAAAATATTTTTTTAGACATTTTTCCGACGTTCTTTGTGATTTTTTTTAAATCCTCCTTTACACCCTAACAATTACAGATAGCGATCTATCTTTTTTTAATGAGTAGGACTAGAGACATGCATCACACTCCCCTATCTCAACTCTAAGTGAAAAATCATAGGGGGCCCACAATCTATATTTGACAAAAATAGCCCAATCAGGAAAGGGTTAATTTGACTACATATCTTTAAACTTAAGGTCACAACTTGCTTAGACATTGACCGAATTTTTAAATTAGTGATCGGCTAAATCGCATGATTTTATTTTTGGATTGAGGCTTGCATTTCATGTTACAATTCATTAAACATCATTTCTGATTTAAATTTGTTAAAAAGAAATAATATTTTGATAATAAAGAATATTATTGTTTCATTACATTCATAAATCTAATGTTTCTAATATCAACTACAGGAGGAAAAAATAAATTTAATTTAGAGTTACAAAAAAAGGATGAGACTTCAGAGACGACTGTGCGGAATTTCTACTCTCTGAAACTTTAAATTTCTTAACAATAGTGCATAAAAAGATTCAGTTTAGTTTCAGGTCGTCTTTAAAGTCTCATCCTTTGTAGATATCCTTGTATGGTAAAGGGAATATAATAATTTAAATTTTTGATTCATAACCGTACCATTAAAAGCTTTTGTCTGCGAAAGAATAAATGAATTAGATATCAATGTTTAAAACTTTAAAAGCCATAATTGTGGTTTCTCTACAAAAGTGACTTTCGCATGTCTGCTTCAGGAAAAAAACGGAATAATCTTAAGTTGATAGTTTTAACGACAATATTTCCCACAAAATAGATTTCAAGGGTACCGTTGTGAATCGGGAATTGCCATATTTGCATGGAGAGGCCTATGAAATTACGCTTACAGTCTCTTTAAAGGGATATGCCTGTTGCTGAGAACCATGGTTGGTGTGCAGTCTGCTCAGTTGTAAGTATAATCTAAAGGGATTGTTCCCAATTTTTAAGATGTCAATGAAAGGGATTGTTCCCAATTTAAAAAAAAGGTGAATTAAAGGGAGTGTTACCAATTTTGAAAATGTACATTTATATGAGAAGTAAAAACCTTAGCCAAAAAGATGGCCTTTATAGCTTTTGAATTAAATTTTTCAAATTTTTACTTGAAATTGAGGGTGCTATAAAATGAGTTATAAAATCATCAGTTATTGGTTTCAAACTCAAAATATGAAGGTTTTTAAAATTTTCTTTAGTTGGATATATTCAGGTTTTTAGAAACCGTTTAGAATTTTTAAATAAGGTCTTTTTGAAATTTCATCGACAGTCCCTGTCAGACAAAATTAACCTAATAAGTAAAAATAAAATTTAAAAAATTTAGATAAAATTTGTTGAGCTAATTTTGTTTTTGTTTCAGCATAATGGAGAATCTGATGATGAGAATAGTTGTGAATATGAGGGAATACACACCCCTGAACTAGACAAGGGCTGGGGATTCTGTTCAGATTCATGCACATTCCCGGATGAGGTAAAATTAACAGAGGCCTCATTCATTCTCCCCTTCCCCCCCCCTCTTTTCACACCACCGAGATCGTTTAGAAGTTCTATGTCTGACCGCAAGATGACTCTGTTCTGGAAGAGAAAGCATCACTCCGCGAGCTAAACAACTTAACACTTAATTTTTCATTATCAGCAATTTCTATTTGTATAGTTTTAAAGCCTTTTTTTGCTCAGATCAATGCAAATTCCAATATGAGGTGAATTCAAAAATTTGTTCATCTTTTCTACGCCTCTGAAAGGGATTGTAAGCATGATTTCAAGTGACCCTCCATGCAAAGATGGTAATGCCCGATTTGAATAGCCCCCTTTAAACCTTTGATTTGACTGACTCTGTGTGTTTATTTATCAGTGTTAACTCAATACAGCTGGTGGTACATGAATACATCAAAAATAATTAATATTCATGTAAATTATTCTGTATGAATTGTTTATTGATTCCTGAGTTTTTGATTTTACGTTAGATATAAACTGCAATTGAAGTAACCTTAAAGCTTGTATATAATCAATAATGTTTAAAAGTTTTGATTCGGATAATTTCATGCTTTCCTGCAGTAGAAATATCAATTTTTTAAGGGTACTGTTGAGAATCGGCACTGGCATTTTTGAATTGAGGGCCACTTGTAATTACGCTTACAGTCCCTTTACCTTTTGAAAAATAGCTTTTTTTTCAGGAATTGTTGGGAACCTCTTTGCAAGAAACATCAATAACCGTGTTTAGGGAAAGACATCTTTTTTCTCAATTATGCATTTTCAAGAACTTAATATTTCCATTCATAAAGGAACTGTAGACTTAATATTTCCATTCATAAAGGAACTGTAGACTTAATATTTGCATTCATAAAGGAACTTTAGACTTAAAATTTCCATTCATAAAGGGAATGTAGACTTAATATTTCCATTCATAAAGGAACTTTAGACTTAAAATTTCCATTCATAAAGGGAATGTAGACTTAATATTTCCATTCATAAAGGAACTTTAGACTTAAAATTTCCATTCATAAAGGGAATGTAGACTTAATATTTCCATTCATAAAGGAACTTTAGACTTAAAATTTCCATTCATAAAGGGACTGTAGACTTAATATTTCCATTCATAAAGGGACTGTAGACTTAATATTTCCATTCATAAAGGGACTGTAGACTTAATATTTCCATTTATAAAGGGACTGTAGACTTAATGTCAAAGGGCCCGCTAATTATAGAGGGGTCTAGTCCGATTCAGAACGGCACACTCTTAAAAAGCTTTGTCTGATTAAGGATAAGTGTAATATCCATAATTTTACTTTGAAAATTAATCAAACCTTAATCTGATCAATAAAGTAACAGATTTTTAGTTTTAAAAGTGCTTAATCGAATAGTGGATTTACGGTCCCTTTAACCAAATTATTTCATCATGTTGACTGATGTTTCTGTTAGTAACGAACAATGTTACAGTTTAAACAACAACACCTGGACCTTTAATCCAAAACTAGAACTTTGTGGAAGTAAGTTGTGCATTAGTGATGATTTATAATGTCGTCTTTTCCTTTCAACTATTAACTTAACGAGAAAAAATCTATTTGAAAATAAACTATTCTTAGTAACAGGTAGGGTTTAACGAATTTTTTGAAACGATCGTTAAACTATCGCTTTTTGTTTTAGAATACGAATAACGGTCTTTTGAAAGCGATCTTTTTTATAAAAACGATCAGCAATCCTAATTTATAAAAAAAAATTTTAAACGATCGTTCTCGAAATAAAAATGTTATCAGGAAAGGTTTATGAATGATCGAATTTTCAAAAATTTGCCTCAAAAAAAATTCGATTTTTAAAATTTTTTAAAATCCACGACTTTTTTTATAAAATCCGCAAAATTTTGTTTAGTTTTCTTTTACAATGTGTACAAAGAGAAAATGTTCATAATTAAAATAGAAGATGGACGCGGAGCGCCCTACATGCCTAGTATCTTAACGTGCTCAATTTCATCAAAAACAAAAATTGAAATAGCTCACTTAACTTACAAACTTAATTTACTCAATTAACTTGATACTAACAAATTATGGAGGATCTATTAAATCATTTAATATTTCATTTTAAAGGGACAAGACACGTAATTTAAGTAATTTAAGTGCAACCCTACATTTATAGATTACCAACAGGGCCAAAAAAAGCCTTGTCTAATTAAGAATGAATAATTTTTACATAATTTCTCAAAAGATTATTTACATTTGATTCAGATTTATAACGCACCCTTGTGAATCGAGCATGGCCCTCTTTTTAAATGGAGTGACACTTGAAATTCCGTTTACAGTCCCTTTAAATGACTAAATGTTAAGGTCACATCTGGCGTAGAAAGGGAGTTTACATGAGAAGAAATCACGATAAAGATGCTGAGAAGGAATACGAGGTATAATATTATCGATTACCAAGTACAATAGGTGGCAACAGAGAAATGGACCAATTATACACGACGTCACAAGTGTCAAATATAACAAGATTAAATAAAAAAGTGCAAAAACAGAAAATAAAGAACATATAAAATTACACTTATTTTACTGTAAGATTAGCACTTTATTCAAAAATTATCACTATTATTGTTAATTTTGTCGAACTCAAAAACTAAGTGGACTGAAGAAACTAAACTGAAACTAAGTGTGATGTAAGAATACAGCTATACTAAGAGTGTACAAATTCTACGATGCCATCTATTGTACATCTATTTGAGACTAACCAATCATCGTCCTATACCACAGCTTTATGGTTTCATTCAGGTACATGAAGCCTCAATATTTAATTTCAAATTTCTTTGCAATCTGATGGTGTAAACCTTTGATATTTCAATCTTTGAAGATTAGATCTAACAGAATTCATAGTTTGAAATATCTAAGTTCTACGATTATGTTATACAAAGGAATAGGGATTCAAAAATCCTTCTAAGTTTTTTTTGACAATAAAATTTGATGATTTAAATATTGTTTTCATGTAATTGCCAAATTAGATATAAGTCCTAGCTATGGGTCTGTAAAAATTTTAACTGGTAAATAGAAATAGGTTAAAAATGGCAAGGAATCAACAATTTAGAATAAAACACGTAAGAATAACAAAATTTGGTTGCAAGTGTGGGATTTTAAAGAGAATTTCACGAGTTTAGAATGCATGGCATTGCCCCCTTTGCCCCCTTTAAATAAGATGTTAGATACTGTCCCAAAGGATTTTTCCCAAGTGGAAATTTCCCAAGGGTAATTTCCCAAGTGGCAACTTCCCAAATGTGCAATTTCCCAAGCGCCAACTTCCTAAGTCTATCCTAGCACTCGGCCTCCATTCTGTTCTAGCCTCGGTGCTTGGCCCCCTAGTCCATCCTGGCTGCAGTGCGAGGGAGGGGGTGCAGAGGCCAAATAAATAATAAAAGCCAAATATTTTTTATTGGAGCCAAAATGCGGGGCGTGGCGACAGAATGGCGGGAGGCTTTATGACGTCACTGGGGCTGTGAGACCAGTTTTGCGGGGCCTGGAGGTAATTCTGCAAATCCTGAGACTCGGAGGTCATTTTGCGGGGATCATGGCGCCTCTGCACCCCCTCCCTCGCAGTGCTCGGGCCCCATTGCAGCCTGAGGTGCCTCAGAGGGTCATACCTTACCTTTGGGAACTTGCCGCTTGGGAAATTGCACATTAGGGAAGTTGCCCCTTGGGAAATTGTCATTTGGAAGAAAATTGCTTTGGGAAAGTAATAATAAAAGTTTAATATTTTTATATTTGAAGACGACTCCTATAGTTGAAGAATTGATTGGTGCAGCTGACGCCTGTCAAGGTGACTCAGGAGGACCAATGGTCACTCATGAAGGTATTTGTTTTCTTCATGAATGTGGGTCTGTGATAATAAGCGCTAGGCAAGTTCAAACCGTTCGTTGATGGTTGTCTAAAATCGTTTGAAATGTTTAATTTTTTTTAGTTTCCGCTTGTCAATAGTCTAAATCTTATAATTAACGATAACGGCAAATATTTAAGAAATCATTAATTGTTCTAGCCATTAACAAGGCACGTTAACGATTTTTTATATAAAAATATCTGGAAAAACTAGAAAATGACATTAAAAAAATCATAACATGTAAGGAAAAAAACAGTCAAACACATAAAACTGTTTTCTTTGTTTTTGATAAGTTTCATGTAATTTTAAAACAAAAAAATTGACGAAAGTCACATTTACTTTCAAGCATATCTTTTCGTTTCTTTTTATTTTCGGGTTTTTTTCGTTTAAAATTGTGTTGTGTGAAATCTTGCAACCTTTGGATCACGATTAAATTGATCCAGATTAAACTTACATATTATTATTATCATTAGATACCGTCCTGAACTGAAAATAAAATATCAACATTTTAAAGAAGAAAAAATCACAAAGTATAATATATATTTTATGTTTAAGTCTTAAGTTGCTAAATAACATCCACTTCTTTGTTGGATTTTTTTTCTATTTTTTTATTGAAGCATTTTTTAAGATTCCTGTTTTTGATCATTCTTTATAATTTTAATTTTAAATTTGGAATTTACTGACAGGATAAAAATTGTCATTTCTTGATGGTCCTTTTTTCTTCTGTTTACAAAAAAAAAAGTTATAATTTTTGTTAAAATATAACTGTATGTTTCTATAGACCCAAGTAACCCTGGTAAATCTGTTCTGGTTGGTATTGTGAGTAGAGGGAAGGGTTGCGGTCAGACTGGACAAACAGGTAGGTTCATGCATACAGTAAACTGTACACTTGTAAACTTGTACAGGGTTAGGATTTTGAGTAGAGGAAAGGGTTGCAGTCAATCTTGACAAGATCAGGTTGGTTCATACAGTGCACTGTACGGTGTTAGATAATTTCCCAAAGGCATTTTCCCAAGAGTGACTTCCCTAGTGGAAACTTCCCAAATGTGCAATTTCCCAAGCGGTAACTTCCCAAAGGTTTGGTTCAAAGATAATATATATATAGATACGCTGGCAGGTAGAAACCTGCTTCCTAAATTGCTTGTAGCAGACAACTAATTTCTGTACCTCTGAGATAAAGTGCAACGAGAGACATCTATAGCAAATTGATTACTTTCTATATTCCTTTCTCCCCCTGCTGCCATCCATGTAGGGAATACGCATTTGTGTTATATAAACATAAAGTACGCGTATTGCATCCTGTACAGTTCAAGTGTTGCTATCTGGACCTGTTCTGTTTGACCAATAAAATTAAATTTCTAGGTAACACAAACATACAGTACGCGTTTTGTTTATGTTATGATCAGTTGTACTTAGTAAAGAATAGACAAACAGAAATATTGACAAACCTTTGGAAATTATTTTATATTTGTTAAATAATTGATATCTATTTAATCAAACGGTTTTTATGAGATATTTAAATAAAATTAGATGTCAGGGGGAGGGGGTTAACCAGAGACAACCCCCCCCCCCCCGCCGGAATGGGGCTAACTTTTTTGCATAATAACAAAGAAAAGATTAACAGTTCCTTCCTGCATTTGTTTGCAGAATTTCCTATGCTTTTGGAAAGTTTCAAAAACAGAGGTTTAAAGGGACTGTTTACTTATTTGGGTAATTTCATGGCACATTTGAATTATTTAAAAAAATAAACTAAGGCTATCAAAGGGGATAATGGACTGGGGCTGGCTCATTTCTTTTTTTATATACCAATCCAATCGAACTTTTGAGCGCACCAAACCTAGGATGACCATTTATGAAAGTAATGGATTTTTTTTTGAATTTTTGGGGTGAAGGGGGTCACGGGGTGATGAGCCAGTTGTGAGCCATGAAGAGCTAGGAGCTTCCGACCATAGTAGTGTTGAATATGGGATGTATTGTTTGATCGGATCCTGTCCGCTATTAGGACTTTGTCCTAGATTCGATGTACTTTTTAGTCATAATTTTTATTTAAATTGCGTTAATTTACGTATGCCATTCAGGTCAACTTGCACATTTAAACTTTGTATATTAAAATTCCTACCTCAGTTTTATTTGCATTGATTAATTTGTTTCATTAAGTACAATATGCAGTATACATTGTTGATACTTTAGTACACATTTGGTGTTATCACGTATAAACAAAGTGATAAATTAGCAACAATCCAGAGGATCAAATGCCATGCTTACGACAGAGAAGGTGCTGCAGATTGCACTTTTTCTCAAGACCTCAAAATTTCTACCTGCCAGCGTATCTACATATATATTATCTTTGGTTTGGTTAGGCCTTCTGAGGCGCCGCAGGCTGCAATGGAGAGGAGTGCTGTGGCTAGAACAGGCTAGGGGGCCGAACACTGCGGCTAGGACATATTTAGGAAACTTCCGTTTGAGAAATTGTACAGTGTACTGTACAGTGTTCTGAACAGTGTACTTTACAGTGTTCTAAACAGTGTACTGTACAGTGTACTATACAATGTACAGTGTATAAATGTGTATAATTGGTTAATTTCTCTGTTGCTTTCTATTGTACTTGATAATCTATTTGCATATTCCTGTTTTCAGCTATCTATACAAGGGTGTCTGCATTTTATAACTGGATAGGTAAGAACATCTTCTTTACATTTAAAAAAATTTAAAAAATTAAAATTTTATAAAACAAGATATAACGCTAAAAGACATTTTTCGAGATTTTTCAAAACTAAAAAACGCCTGATTTTTAACTGAACACTTTGAATTCTATAGTTTTAAATATCATTTGTAAATGTATTTTTTGTACTAGTTGACACAATAAAGGCTGACAAAGAAAAGTATTGGAAATGTACTGACTAAACAAGGTGAAAACAAAATAAATAGAAAAAAAACATATTTGTAAACAAAAATTCTTTTAGTTGCTGACTTGCCTCGAGATTTTTGGAATTTTACCAAAAAGTATAAATTTTGTCAAAATGGATAATTAAGAAAACTTAATAAATATTAAGATATAATAATTTTTTTAGTAGAGAGTAGAGAGTAGAGAGTTGAGAGTAGAGAGTAGAGAGTAGAGAGTAGAGAGTAGAGAGTAGTATACAGATTATATATATATATATGTATGTTTATCTCCATGGAAAAATAGTTGTGACACTGGTTAGACTGGTTTAAGATCTTACAGATAGTAATCCCAAACCATCCAGTTCAGCAATATTCAACAGTAACATCTAGTACTTTTCATTAAATCTATTCTCATTGTGTTCAGCATTCTTCATTCCACTCTTTTTGCTATTTTATTACGCTTAATTTCTTTATTCTCAATTTTTATTTTCATTTTTGGACGTTAAACGTGGTTCAATTTCTTAATATAATAATTCACATTTTTTGGTATTTTTTTGTTAGTTTTTTCCTCTTTCGATTGTCGTCTCCTTCTCTTTTTAATTTTGAATTGACTGCAGAGGAATTCTCATTCTTAAATTATTTTAAATTAAAATCTTTACTTTCACTTTTCACTTTTATTATTTGTTACTAATTGTTACTTATATCTGTATTTCTTTTTATAGTTTTTTAATCATTGAGTGACCACTTGATACTTGAGGTATAAAGCATTTAATAAAACATAACAGTTAGGCTGAACCATTTTCAGAAAAAATATAATTTGAACATTTTTTTATTTTTTAATGTATTTAATCTTATTACAGGGGACATTAGTTCCAAAACTAACACTTGGCCCATTTCTAGTTCTCAGTGTTAGAAATTGGCCAATTCTTAGTTTTGGAACTAATTTCCCCTGTATTAGCTTTAATTGCAATTTTACACGTGAGTTTAAGTCAGTTTTAAGTTTTTTTTGGCAGAAATAATATTTTTATCAAGCGAAAAGTTGAAACATATCGCTATGATGGAAATCTTAGATATTGGGAAACTTACCTAATAGTTTCTAATAAACGCTTTTACGGCACTGCCCCAGTAACTTCATAAATTGAACTCTAATACTCAATACCCTTCCGTAATTTGTAAAATGAAATATTGAGTTTTTGTCACAATCACAAATCTTTGAAGCCTGATGGTGTAAATTTTTAATATTTCTAACGTAGATTATTTGGTCTAATATAATTTATAATTTGAAAAAATATCTCTGGTCTACGACTTTGCGTTGCAATGATTATAAAATCAAAGTTAATGACAAAGTCTCAATTCCTTTCTTATTAAATGTGCCGCGGCCTCCCCCTTTCCCTTTCTTCTTCTGAAAAGAACAATTTTTCGTGACTATCTTTCTTAACCTAACCTATTGTATAATCACGGGACGTTGCTCTTTTTCCGTTGTGGGGGGGGGGGCCTTGGGTCCAAAAGAACAGCAAGAAGACTTTGCCAATACTATTATTTTGCATAAATATTTAGAAAAATGTCTGTTCCACGTCTATCTGCTCTTCTCTCCTCAAGAAATATCCATCGATATATTTTCCAGGTGTGACTTTGTGACCTCGTATCTTACCAACATACTTGGAGACATTATTTAACAAGCTTAAATAACGAAGACGACAATAAGTAGATTACAGATCAGACGTCAACAGACCATAAACCTCGTATTCGAGTCGTTTGATTAATTGTTTTGAGAGAAGTCTGTCATCGTAATGTTGTGTGGAAGTTCTGAAAACTTATAAAATGGGTATTTTATACACGAATCAGAGGCCAAACCAAAACTTGGGCGGGCTTGTGGCAACCCTACATCTTTGATTAAGGGTTGTTAAATTGTATTTATATCTAGATTATCTTGAATCCGTTGTAGTTTGTGTAAAAAGGCTATGAGGTACATGTTTTTTCCCGAAAATGTTAGCGTTAACAAAGACGACATTCTAAATATATTTCAGATTTACAGGATCCATTCAAGGATAAATTTATGACCTTGAAAAGTAATTATAAATTGAAATCATTATAAACCAATGCAAGTTACAATTGATAGAATGTTTGTAAATAAAAAGATTATCAGAATAAATTCATTTTATCCATTCTCACCATGAAACACAAGACAATGAATTTTAATAGGAGTATTGTGACAAAAAACAGTCTAATCCCCCCTCCCTGACCCCCTAAAATACCCCACTGTGCTGCCCCAGAAACAATGACAATTAATAAATATGAGACCGACAAGACGACTTTTGACACTGTGATAATAAATATAAAAATAGAAAATGTCCACTGACACATAAACTGTTGATAAATATGAGATATAGAATACAAATTTGACACAATGACAGAACATAGAAGACGACTTTGGCACAGTGTCCTTTAATATGTATGTACGAGACAAAGATGATGATATGATATTGAACACAAAATTCAGTTGCAACATTTTTATACAACCGTAAATTCTCCTTCAATAAAAAACTACCTCAATAAAATATTAAATGATTTAATTTCAGACGGAGAAACCACGACTGTTTAGGAAATCTGAAATCAAAATTTTATTTTAAAATATCAAAATACTAAAAATATTAAAAATATCAAAAGTAATAACAAATCTTCTTTGGAGTCGGGATTAAATAGAAAGGGTGATAAAGATGATAAATGAGACGGTTTAAAGGTCGTCTTTGATCTTTAATCTTTAATTTAACTTGTTTGGCAATTTTAAAGTTTAAGTTTGCCAGTGATTAAGATGAATAAAACGCTTTGATTTTTTGACAAAACAATCAAAACTAAATTTTTAAATCAAAAAGGTTTTTGAGGGTTGTTTAAAAATTTATTTTTTGGATTTAGAGTGAACTCTAACAATTTATCTACAACAACTTCTTCACAAGAAAAGTAAGTTAAATATTATTTTTTCATATGAATACCAAGTACTTTCATTTTTATCAATACTAAGCTTTTAGGGCGCTTCGCGCCAATCTTCTATTTTAATTTTTAATTTTCTCTTTGTACATATAAAACAAAAACTAACAAAAAACTTCTCGGATTTAATAATAATTTTCGCGCATTTTTAAAATTTAACAAAAATCAAAAACTTGTGTACAAAATTTTTGTAATTTTGAGCATCCATAAACCTTCCCCGGGTCATGTGAGGTTCCACACTAAATTTTAGCCCAATCGGCCGGTTCTGCTTGCTTGCCGTTTATTGGATACGAACGGACAGACAGACAAGCAAAGTATGTACATAATTACATATAGATTTTTAAAATTTTCATTTCTATCAATATTTTCAAATATTTTTATTTTTATCAATATTTTTAATTATTTCATTCTGTTTCTAACAAGCTATCCAGTTATTCATCTATCTACCTAGCTTTTTAACTATTTTTCATCTATCTATATCTAACTATTGTTCATCTATCTATATCTAACTATTATTCATCTATCTATATCTAACTATTATTCATCTATCTAACAGCTATTTTTTCACCTATCTATATCTAACTATTATTCATCTATCTAACTAGCTATTTTTCATTTATCTATATCTAACTATTATTCATTAATCTACCTTGCTATTTCACAAAATTCAATAATCTTTTTAACTTTGATTTTAATCTTCATGACAGAAATATTCTCTTAAGAACTGACGAGTGTCAACCCATACCGAAATACAATTTCAATAAAATGTGGATCTAACATAGCTATTTTATAAACTCTACAGAGGTTTGGACCATAGACATCCCCGAATTTTAACTAAATTTTTATCAGTCTACCAAGCTATTTATCTTTCAATCTACGAAGCTATTGAATACCAATATACATTCTACAAAGCCATTGTATTTTTATCTATCTATCTACCAAGCTATTCATGATTTTTGCGACTTTTCAAGCATTTTATCTTTTTTCTAAATATTATTGATGATATGTTTTTAAATACTTGATGCATTTCTTGAAATTTCATTTATTAAATAATAATTTTTATTTAGATATTTTACCCCTAAGCACGAATGGGTTGAAGTGCAGGGAAAGATTGGCACTGTTGGTGTTTCTAAGTAAGTTTTTTACAACAAATTTTTATAACAACTAAAATTATACTATGATTTTTTTACAACTACTTTACAGGGAAGTTAAGGGAATTTTACTTTACCCATGGGGCTTCCAAGATAATTTTATCGTCTTTGGAGATGCAAATGCGCAACATTTTTCTCGAAACCTTTGCAGAGGGGGTCGTTATAATACTTTGTTGTCCCAAAGGACATTCGTGAAGTAACTTAACTAGGGGAACCATGGTCGGTAATATTGGTCAACAGGCGGTAAAATTCGTGAATATAATTCGTTAAAATAACACAATTATCTATTATTTGTAACAAAAATCAGAAGATTTTCATAATGTCGTCAAACAAATTAAATTTGATATTTCACAATAATGTTCCAAAATGTAAACCCTTTTTAAAGACACATTTTAAATAGATTCTGCAGGTGATATATTTTAATGTAGATATGCTGCTGATGCTCTGGGTGATATTGTGTACTCTCAGCTGCCTGAACCAGGGGATAGTGTAGAAGCTGGAGGGGTAAGTTCAAATCAAGGAAAAGATGACATTTTAAAATTTCTTTATTAAATGAAGAACCAATCTGCAGATCATTATCATATGGTGAGGCGGAATTAGTAGTCAACTCGGTGTAAGCTGAAGTAAAGTGTACACCAAATAGATTATCAAGTACAATAGGTGGCATCAGAGAAATAGACCAATTATACACAACGTCACAAGTGTCAAATGTACCCAGGCAAACGATATTTTCTCATACTAGTTGACATGTTTTCCAAGATTAAACAAAAAAGTGTAAAACAGAAAATAAAGAACACAAAAATGTTACTTATTTCACTTTTAAATGAATGAACACTTAGTCTAAAATTATCACTATTATCAATAATTTTGTCAGACACAAAAACTGATTTGACACTTATGACGTCAGAATACAGCTGTACTGAGAGTGAACAAATTCTACGTTGCCATCCATTGTACTTGATAATCTATGTGGTGTACACTATCCTACAGTACGAACTCAACACGTCTGATTTTGCATTCCTCAACAATCCAGAATATTCCATTTTCACTGCAGTTTTCAAATATTTTAATGTAAATATTAATATTTATAAAATATAAAATAGGTTTCTAACTATAGTTCTCCTTGATCGGTCGAACATTTAATGGGAATCAGACATGCCACTCTGTAAATGGAGGGTCACTTGGAATTATGACAGCAGTCCCTTCTATCAATAAATAATTTGCAGGAGATTGGAGCTCTGGAGAGTGTAAAGGCAGCCAGTGAAATATATTCACCAATTTCTGGAAAGGTAATTCCCGGATTGCCTAAATATGTTATTGAAATGTGAAAATGTCATTTTCACGTAGCTAAATGTACCAAAATTTATGTCATGATCACATTATTAAATTACGCTCTATAGAGTGTAATGGCAGACAGTGAAATATATTTGCCAATTTTGGGAAAGGTAACCCAGCTTGCCAAACTGCGTCATTTAAATGTGAAAACACCATTTTCACTTAGCAAAACGCAACATAATTTATGTCATAATCACATTATTAAATTATGCTCTAGAGAGTGTAAGGCAGCCAGTGCACTCCTGTATGCCAAGTCCATTAGCTCCTGATCCAATCAGGGTTCAGTCATGTGTTTGTTGTCTATTCTGAACCAATAGAAATAGTTTGGCGGTAACATCTATCTTTCTATCTTTCTCATTATCCAATCAGAGTTTTGAGTCCTTCCATCGGCGCTATCAGTAAATAGAAATATTTACTTCTACTGAAACTATGGGGAGTGAAACATATTCACAATGTTTGGGAAAGATGACCCAGCTTGCCAAACTACATCATTTAAATGTAAAAGCGTCATTTTCATGAAAAAAAATGTTCCATGAATTATGTTATAATCATGTTTTTAAATTACGCTCTGAAGAGTGAAAAGGCAGCTTGTGAAACATATTCACCATGTTTGGGAAAGGTAGCCCAGCTTGCCAAACTACATCATTTCAATATGAAAACGTAATTTTCACATAGCAAAATGTACCATAATTTATCATTTTATGTCATAATCTTGTTACGCTCTTGAGAGAGTGTAATGGCAGATAGTAATATTATTTTCAACAACTAGTGCAATGGCAGATAGTTATAATTATTTTCAAGAACTAGTGTAATGGCAGAAAGTAATAATTATTTACAACAACTAGTGTAATGGCAGATAGTTATAATTGTTTACAACAACTAGTGTAATGGCAGATAGTTATAATTATTTACAACAACTAGTGTAATGGCAGATAGTTATAATTATTTACAACAACTAGTGTAATGGCAGATAGTTATAATTATTTACAACAACTAGAGTAATGGCAGATAGTCATAATTATTTTTAAAGGATAAAATGGAGGATAGGGTTGATATATATATATCATGAATATTGTTAAGGTTATGTTGAAGGATGATAAAGCTAGTGGAGGATAGGGTTGATATATATATATATATATATATCATGAATATTGTTAAGGTTATGTTGAAGAATGATAAAGTGGAGGATAGGGTTGATATATATATCATGAATATTGTTAAGGTTATGTTGAAGGATGATAAAGTGGAGGATAGGGTTGATATATATATATCATGAATATTGTTAAGGTTATGTTGAAGGATGATAAAGTGGAGGATAGGGTTGATATATATATATATATCATGAATATTGTTAAGGTTATGTTGAAGAATGATAAAGTGGAGGATAGGGTTGATATATATATCACGAATATTGTTAAGGTTATGGAGAAGAATGATAAAGTGGAGGATGGTCCTGCTCTTATAAATCAGAGTCCAGAGGATGAAGGCTGGCTTTGCAGGTTTTTATCCTATTATATTTCTAAATTGCTTTTTCTAGTTCAAAAAAGCTTACACTATTTAAGGGACTATCAACATGATTTCAAGTGATACAGTGGTAGGCAATTATATCAATACAATGAAGAAAACCTTTTTACATAAGTTTTAATTTTTCTGTATGTGTACAGTGAAGCCCTTAATAACGAATACATCGAAAGAATTCATCAAATGTCGTATTCTTCGCTTTCTGATAATGGAATGTTGCAGATATTTAGTTTTTTAATTAAATGATTATATGGACTCTTTTAAACTGTTCCCGCATATTCATGGCTATTTATTTATTTTCGCAAATACTGAAATTTAAGTAAAATAGTATAAAACTCATTGAAAAATTGTCAAGATGACATTTGATAAATTCTTCCGATGTATTCGTTATTAAGGGTTTCACTGTAGCTTTTTTCTAAGTACAATACCACTGTGCTTAATCAAAAAAGTTTAATATAAAATGTATAATAAACAACAATATGACACTTGGTATTATCGAATCGAGCAAGTAACTTTTAAATGGGCTTGACAGTCTCAATAATTTTGTTTTTCACAGGATTGAGTTGAATAATGCTGCTGAACTTGAAGGATTAATGAAGATCAAGGAATATGAAACATACCTTGGAACCTTAGCTGATGATCATTAACATGAAACCTATCCTGGAACCCTAGCTGATGATCATTAACATTAAACCTATCCTGGAACCCTAGCTGATGATCATTAACATGAAACCTACCTTGGAACCCTAGCTGATGATCATTAACATGAAACCTATCCTGGAACCCTAGCTGATAATCATTAACATGAAACCTATCCTGGAACCCTAGCTGATGATTATTAACATGAAACCTATCTCGGAACCTTAGCTGATAATCATTAACATGAAACCTATCCTGGAACCCTAGCTGATGATTATTAACATGAAACCTATCCTGGAACCTTAGCTGATGATCATTAACATGAAACTTATCTTGGAACCCTAGCTGATGATCATTAACATGAAACCTATCCTGGAACCATGATGAGCATTAACATGAAACCTACCCTGGAACCCTAGCTGATGATCATTAACATAAAACCTATCCTGGAACCATGATAATTATTAACATGAAACCTATCCTGGAACCATGATGATCATTAACATGAAACCTATCCTGGAACCTTAGCTGATGATCATTAACATGAAACCTATCTTGGAACCCTAGCTGATGATCATTAATATGAAACCTATCCTGGAACTATGATGATCATTAACATGAAACCTATCTTGGAACCCTAGCTGATGATCATTAACATGAAAACTATCTTGGATTGGAACCTGAGAGAATGATCAGTGTTTTCTAAAAGGGAACTTGAGATTTAGAATGTTGATCATTTATATGAAAGTGAAACCTATTCCTAATGATCATTAATATTAAACCTATCTGGGACCTTGAGAATATGACCATCAATTAACTAATGTTGTATGTTATAGAGCTCAATAATGTTGTACCAACTTTTCTATGCATAGACTGCTTATTTTCATGTTAATTGTTCTAGTTCGGTGTAAAAATAAAATTTAGAGTTCAATTGTATTTTTAAGAATTTTATATTTAAAGTTATTCTTTAAAGGGAGTGTTCGCGAAAAATGAAAGGGGTATAGGCTTAATGCGATAAAAAAGCGCTTTTGATCGCCACTAATCTTACTTCTATCTGTTGCGTAAGGAGAAAATTGTTAAAGACGTCTCATACCGAATAACATGGCGTCCATACAAATTGAGAAAATTGCAACATACGACTTAGACCGTAAAAAAATCAATTTAATTTCAAAAAATTAATCAGATATTACAACCTACAGTCATCGATTATCTTTCGCCACATTTATATATAGTTGATTTTTTATAATATGTTTTAATTGTTATGATCTGAGAGTTACTTATAAAAACGTTTATTCCTGTTTCGAGGATTTTTGGTAATGAAGGCGACATTTTCATATTTTCCAGGAATGTTCGAAAACAAGTTGTAAGCTAAATATTATTTTAAAAACAAAATCAAAACTAGTATGAAATATTAAATATTAAAGATCGTTTTTTTTGGGGACACCCTGTATACACAAGCTAGAATTTGAAGCAGGATTCAACAGGTATTCTCGATTCACTAGGGGACCCTTAGAACCTCTCAGAGTTAAAGAGTTAAATTCTGAAAACTAAACTTTAGATTGTTTCTCTCTAAGCAGAAATGAGCCACTTTTTAGTTTTACAGTGGAATCCAAAGGCTTTAATCAGCGTCTTCAGTGTAAATATATATTTGAATTCCACTTAAGAAAATTATAACATAAATAATTTATTAACACTTGTAAGATGGAAGTGTTTATTTGATCAAATGGTTAAAAAGATATCAATATTTTTTCAAAAAGCGCGTTTTTCAGGGGGGGGGGCAGACAAATTTTGTTGTACGCCCTCCCTACACAAATGCTCTCGAACGCCCCTGATAAAGGCTTTTATAAAATTCCAGCAAGGGATTAAAAATGTTACGTAAAATAAAATATCAATCAGCCCCCCTTTGAAATATCGTAAGTCGACCTTCGCTAAAAGTTATTATTATTCAAATCTATTTATTGTTCAAAAAAGTACAGTAACAAATAAAAAAAAAATCAAAGACATGTACATTTTAATTTTCTGATTTTATTAAATGTGTAGACGAAAACAAATATTAACTATACAAAGATTAATAGAATAAAATAGAAGTGCCAAAAAAACAGAAATATAAGAACTGGCAAAATTATACAGGGAGCTTCAGGTAAGCATGGTTTTAAAAGGCAACATTCATTGAGACGGTTAAAGACGAATGCGGAGATAGCGGGTATTGAAGATCCAACAGCTTTGCACCATTGTTTCTTTTTAAGAGTTAAAATTTTTTGAACCAAGAGTGTGAAGTAAGCATGAAAACAATAAATTATAGCTCTGCACCGTCAACATAAAGTTATAGCTTTGCACCATAGATAAAAACGATCCTGCGGAGAGAGCAATTATTGAAGATCCAACAGCTTTTCACCATGTGTTTCTTTTTAAGAGATAAAAGTATCGGAACCAAAATTGTGTGGTAAGTAAAAGAAAAATTTTTTATCTCTGCACTGTGAATATAAAGTTATAGTTTTGCATCATAGGAATAACTAATTAAAGTAGAATTGTAAGTATGGAAGATTAAATGACGGAAAAATTCTGATAAATTCTGATAAACTCAAAATCCAGTTTAAAAATAGAAAAGGATAGTTCATCAATATCACATTTTCGTTCTGGAGATCAGTGATCTTAGATTTCGAGATCTTTAATCTATCTGTCATAGTGCTTCCTCTTCCTGCTTTCTCTTTCCTTCTTTTCGATCTCTAGAGCTAGAACTTTCGGAATATTTTCAGATTCGACTATTCCGTATAGAACCTTAAAGAACGTCAGGACCGCCTTACCCATCCTCAATCTGGAGCTGTCGTTGAGGTGAACCATCTCGGTGTAGATCTTCTCTCTCCATTGCGGATCTCTGTACTTGGTACATGTTTCCATCAGGTTTCGGGGCCCATAGAAAGAAGGATCTAGTTTCTTAGTTTTGAGTCCCAGGTGTGAAAAGGGGGAGCCTTGAAGGATTTAAGCCTAGGATCCCCGCGGTTAAGTTCTCTGATCATGGTGGTTAGTGTGCTAGAGGAGGGAGGGGGTGCAGAGGCGCCATGATCCCCGCAAAAATGACATCCGAACCTCAGGATTTGCAGAATTACCTCCAGGCCCCGCAAAACTGGTCTCCCAGTCTCAGTGACATCACCAAGCCTCCCGCCATTCTGTCTCCACGCCCCGCATTTTGGCTCCAATAAAAAAAATATTTGGCTTTTATTTCCAACAAGAACCTTTTTTAAAAAAATTCTCAACATGATGAAATAGTTCAGAATGATACATTAACATTTTGTATTAAAAAGTGAATTTTAATTGAGATTAAAGGCTTGTTTTTTGTTTTTCTAAATTTCACAACAATTTCACAGATAGAAAAATGTTATATTATTTTAGAGGGGTCTCATATACCAATCAAACAATATCAGCGGCAATTTACAAAACAAGGTAGTTTAAGTGAAATCCTTGTATTTGTGATTTTATCGTACATGCTTTAGAAAATATTGAAGAACTATTTTTTTAAAAATTGAAACAAAGAATTAATTTTTGCGGGGATCATGGCGCCTCTGCACCCTCTCCCTCGCTAGAGTTTAGAATCTAGTTGTCTTGAAGTACTCTTTCTTCATACGGGAGAACCGCAATTTTCGGTGGGAAGGGAGGAGTAGCTATAGAGCACGTAGATCTGCCCCCAGCTCCTGCTCGAGTCTTCATAGATAGGACATCATTCTTGAATTTTCTTAGATCTCGGATGCATCTTTACCTTCACTAAAAGTTACGCCCCTAAATCAATCAGTTCACGGTGTACGTTAAAACTTTCCGATTGGGGATTCCCAGAATAGAATTAGAATACATTGTGTACAGTTGTACGGTAACGTAACGGTATGGTGGAGTGAGAGTGAGCACCCAGTGTTGTCGCTTCAGAACGTTTTTCGTGAATTTTTTCAAAAACTTGATGAAATTTTAAATCTAAGATTATTTCAATGTGAAAACGTACGTGACGAAACTCTGCTGTAATGAATTATCCGTGTTTAACTGTCCAGATATGATTGAAAAGTGTAGCGCACTTAAAACTCAATAATTTTGGGT